AGGATTCTATACAGTCCTGTGAAAAATGAGGCTCATCTCATGATTCAGTAGCTGGTAGCACCACCATAATTTTAAATTACTATTTTTCTCTATGACTTTATCAGTCTCACATCATTGTGAAGGAATCTTCACCCACTCTTATTTATGAATTTGCTTTAGTTCATAAAGACTTGTGAGTATTTGTTTAAGCACATCTCTCTTAGGTCTCCCCACAATATTTAAATCAGGTTGACGTGTGGACTTTGACTGGGTCATTGGAACTACTTGATTCTTCTTCTGTTGTACATTTGCTGCTGTGCATGGGAACAATGTCCTGCTGAATGACCCAATTTCGCCGAAGCTTTAACTGTCAGAGAGATGACCTCCCATTTGACTCTAGAATGCTTTGCTATAAAGAGCATGCAAGACTTCTAGGTCCTGTCTCTGTGAAACAGGCACAAATCATCACTCCTTTCACCACACTGCTTGACTGTAGGTATGATGTGTTTGTGCCTATATGCTGTGTTCAGTTTGTAACAAACATAGTGCTGTGCATTATGGTCAAACATCTCCACTTTGGTCACATCTGTCCAAAGGAAATCATTGCAGAAACCTTGTGGTTTGTTCAAATGGATCTTTACCAATCTAAGACATGCTGCCATGTTCCTTTTAGAGAGAAGAGTCTCTCCTGTCAACTCTTCAAAACAAGCCATACTTGTTCAGCCTTCCTCTAGTTGTACTGTCACGAACTGCAACATTTAACATGCTAACTGAGGCCTGCAGAGTCTGAGATGTCGCTCTGGAAATTTTTGCAGTTTCTCAGTTTCGCGTCGCACTGTCTGATCTTGAGGTGAGTTTGTTGCGACTTCTACTCCTGGGAGGATTGGGAATGTGTCCTGAATGCCAACTTGTCAATATTTTTTTTCACTGTTGAATGATTGACTTCAAACTGTGTGCAAATGGTCTTATAAACCTCCACAGATTGATAGGCAGCAACAATTGTTTCTAGATATTGCTGGTGTCTTCCCTCCTCAGAATTGTGTTAACATACACCTGAAAGCTCCAGAGCAGCAAACTGCCAAAATGTCTTCCTTCATAGAGATGCTCATACTTGCTGATGTAGGTTGTATTTTTTCACAAGACTGCAGAAAGTCATGTGAAAACTTTTTTTTTTCACATGACATATAAGTTAAGCTGCTTAATTTCTAATTCCGGTGTGTGTATACCTTTCACATATACATTAGAGCCATTAAAGCCACTTTTCACTGCAAAAAAACATTTTCACTTTAAAAATATACCACTAGTAAAAATTAGGGAACCAGTTCATAGACATAGACAAGCTACTGAGAACATCCTGTACCTCCAGGGATATATTGTACTAACTTTAATATCCTCTACTGTACTATAGTCAGATATTATCAGCTATGATTACAAAATATAATGATACGTGTCACAAGAATGGATTAGGTCGAATCTGACCTCACTTGCAGACCATTTGTGTTACTGCCAATAAACACAACCTGAGACATGTTGGATGACCTAATGATGACATTTATGGTAAAAAAAAAAAAAAAAAATTAAAAGGATGCACTGACATACCACAGCCTCATATATAACAGTTACTTTGTCTATTTCATGAGAAGTTCTAATGCTGCACAGACACTTCTGCTGGTTCTTTCTAGTCTGCCTGTTTTTTTATGTGTGTTGACATTACCACAGAGATTATGTTGACCTTTTGTGGGCTTTTAAAAGTGCAATAAATGTGTACTATACCAACTCTAACAGTCATCAACACTGTATGTCAGGCATAAGATTCTGCACTTCAGATGTACACGGAGCAATAAAGTTATACTGATACTCATTGTTATTCTGAGCAGGCTTCAGTCAGAATGAGAGCAGTTAGAAAATGTAGCTGGGAAAAGAAACAAGAGAGCAAGATACAATCGCGGACGCCTGCTGAATTCTTTCAGGGTCGTGAAATTTAAGGAACTCTACCATGATAGAAAATATGTTACTATTACTTTATCTGTTTCAGTCTCTCAAATTAAACACCCTCGTCCCCTAAAAAAAGCCCTTAACCTCTGTTTGTTTGAGATTTTTGTTTTTAACTCATACTTACCAAGATAGTGGTGACTATGTAAGTTCTGTTCAGTAGTGGGTAAGTCTCGTTGCTCCCTCTCAGGCTGGCTGTGGTCACGTACTTCTCATCTTCATTCCAGTAGCCGACCTAAGGCAAGGAGAATGTGTCACAAAGTAGGGCCCGTGTTTAATTAACTGCCTAAAGTGAAACTGACTATATGAGAGAAAAATAACTTTTACTCCCACTCAAAGACTCGAGCTTAAAGGCAGTTTATCATATTTCAGCTTATATTTAAGTCCAGCTCAATGACCTATCAAGCTGATTTAGCAGCTCTTACTGTGAATGACTGAAATCCCAAAAGAGACATGTATGTGGAGTGCACAAAATTTAATTGAAATGATGAGCTGTATTTAATAAAAATGTATAATTTATCAGGCATTTCAGATAAATTCAAGTACTTAAGTCTCCTCACTGGATAGCTTCTCCAGCGCAAGAGGAAAATATGAATTTCCTGCTATTTCAAATAAACATTCAGTTGCATTTGCAAGACTGAAAACATACCAAGAAGTAAGGTAAATCCATGTCTCTAATTTACCTTTCACCCTTAAGGTATTTGCAGCAGTAATGATGTACTCATTTGGGAGCTGCTCAGTGAGGTGTGAGAGTAAAAAGCTACTCATACACTTCACTGAAGGTAGTAGGAGATTTCTTGTTAAATGTGAATCTTAACTTTTTAAATTAGAAACTGGCTCTTTGGAGCATTCACTCGTTTGACTACAGTACAAGGTTTTAAAATAAGCTACAGGGTTAGTCAGACACATGTAATAAGACTGCATACATATTGTCTTTTTAGAAAGGGGGCCCTTGGGCAAGAATGAATATCTTAAATCGGACCCTCAGGCTCACCTTCTTGGGTCCAGAGGGGGCCAGTTCCATGACACTAACAGTGTAGTTGGTTCTGCGGCCTTTCTCATTAAACTGAATGTGGCCAGTCAATCCATCTATACGGACCTGTAATGGAGTCAAAGATATCGAATAAGTAATTCAGATCCTCTCACTTCCCTGGCTGGTACGGCTGCCCCGTAACGTGATATTCAACCAGCGTTTCAGTGCTAGGAGCAAGCACTCGCACATCATGCTAACATGACATGCATTCTAAGCGCAACTTGTTTTGTGTCGTTTTCATTTGTGAGTGTCCGCGCGTCACTGTGGACATAAATGACAGACGGTGTGCACGTATGTGTGCAGAGTGCACCGTGTTTGTCTTGGCTGTGTGATGGAATTAATTGAGCGAACACGAACGGCTTCAATCTCCAGTCTATCTGCAGGCAGATGGCGAGACTGATTCGGAACAGGCCTCTGCGCAGCCACTCTGCAGACAGCGCCTTGGGCAGCACACTCACACAAGCACTTGTACTGTACGTAAATCCTCATGAACACAAAAGCAGTTTTTATATTTCCATATTTTGCGTGAATGGTGTTGAATGCCTTGAACTTAAATTTTCTTTTTTTTTATTAGCGTTCTAAATTTAATCCAAATAACTGTCCGTGTTCCTCGATGCACATGCGGGTCGGCGTTCGTGTGTCTCTGTGACATTAAGGAGTCTCACAGCCAGTCCAGCATTTTCATCGCCAAATATTACATTTCTAAACTCAATTGCTGATGTCATATTTCATGATAATCACAGTCGAGTGTTATTGCCTGCAGGTTGTGTTTACTAGCTATGATGTCACATTTGATACTGGAGAGCTCTCCAACGACTTAATGTGAACTTTACACGACAGAATGAGACCTAATTTGTTCAGCCAGCCCAAACTCAGGAGCTGTTAGCCAATGTGCCACTCAAGAAATTGTGTGAGTGTGCATGAGGATCTATGTATTTATGCGTGTGTGCATTAGTGTGTTCCTCTCCACGTGTGCAGACCTGCTGCAGGGCTCTCTGGATGTCTATGCCCTGTCCCCAGGGAGCTGGTGGGTTGGCTAGGCATTCTCCAGCGTTGCCCCTGCGAGATATGTCTATCCTCTGTCTCCTTAAATTCTGAAAGGCTGTGGACATGACTTTCACCCCGTCATATGTTAGAGCACCTGTGTACTGCAGAGAGCAAGTTTAATTCAATTACATTTCATGTCACAAACACTAGAAGCGCTTTGCTTAAACATCAGAGACTTCATTTCTATAACTTAAACTTTAGGTTACTTTCTTATGCCTGTAAATACACAAATACCTTGATATGGTATCACTCTCAGCTTGGTATAGATAAATAATTGCTATAGCAGAAATCCAAAATCCAAAAAGCATATTCAGGTAAGAGTTACCTATTATATAGACACTAGGCTTAGAGACTTATGGAAGAAGAAGAAAGTAACTCAGAAATTTAAGGGGTAGTACTTTGAGTCCAGGCTTGGGCACTTTGGAGTCCTTATTATCAAACTCCATCCACTGCTGGACGATGCGGCTCACACTCGGCTCTGAGTTGTTGACGAGCTGAAAGCCGGTTATGTTTGCCCCGCCTTTCCTCAGATCTGTCAGATCGATGTCCAGAAAACCCTGAGAGGAAACCAGACAGAAACAGATTACACACATACTCACACAGGTACAGAGGATACAGTATGTTAACTCCATGTGAAATCCAGCTGATATGTTCTTCTACAGCAGTGGATTGCAAACAGGGGTTCTGGTTATCCAGGCGTCACAAGAAAAAAACCCACATGTAAAATGGATCTCGCCTCTACTTTTGAGCTTCATAAGCAGTTTAGCTTATAAGCAGATGGATGAATGGATCAATTATCATAACTTGTTAAAAACTGCATCAAAGGGTTTCAAGCAGGTGAGCATTTTGTAAGAACACTGTCCAAAAAGGTTTTGGAACCAGCAGCAGGGTACCTAACATTAGGTGCCGCTGGTTGGGTAATTTAGCTAACTTTATTACATTTTAAGTACTGCTTTAACTGTGCCATCACAAGTTCAGGTTTTAATTTCTTAATAAAGAAAAAAAATCTTTCATTTTTACATAGGGTGATCATCCCATTGAGCAGACTTCATTTAGGTCTTTCCTGAGGGACAGAAGTAGTGAGAAAGAAAATAGAAAACCTCATTACATGGAAGGAGCAGTCCGGCACTAATCTGTGATAGACGGAGTCCTCATAGGCTACTGTTAACAACAGCAGGATCAAAACCTTATAGGCTACTGTGAACAATGCAAGGCGAGCCTCAGGCAAAGAAGAATGGAGGAAGAAGCGATTTACTGTAATGGTATTTCCTTCTTGTATCCCCCCCCC